GAATAACGTCCTGAACGCAGCATGGGGCTTCTCTTTCACCCCGACGACGGTAAACCCTCCTTCTCCTATCTGCATTGTGGATCATAAAAGGGCTCTCATCGGTGAACATCACTCGCCGCCAGTTCTGGTTCTGCCAACGTCGGACATTACGTGCCCACACAACCCTGTGTTGACGGTGCTGCCGCGTCAGCTGTATCCCCTGCCTTGGTCTATACTGCCGTAAACCTTGGACCCGAAGTCTTCTTCTAACTGTTGTCGATCTGATTAACGTCCCAGAGCTGTCCTTGCTGATGACGTCACCGGTAGAAATCTGTTCCTCAGGTGTATTTGACGGAGGTACTAATGTTCAGCTGGCGTTGTGATGCGTGGACGTGTCCACTTCTCGGTCTGTCTGTAGCGCTGCATAAGTCTTATAACGGTGATACGGTGGCATCCGAGGACGTTGGCAAACAGCATTGTACGTCGACCCCATCTGCACCATCCAAATGGCTCTTTCTCTTTCTTCAGCTGTTAGTCGTGACATATTTCTCGTACTTGTGTATCATATCATGCATTGTAGGCGCTCTTTATACCCTAAGGAATCATTCTACATGTGAAATAAATGCAAATACCGCTTGAATATTGCTAAGTTTTGGCGACTGATTTTGCTATGTGTAAACAAGAAAAATGTACCTTTGCAAGCAAAATGTACACAAAGATAATCTTAGGTGTTCCTAAACACTTTTCACAATATCAAAGACGTTGTGCATGTGTTCACTTATGCAAATCAGCAGAAAATGTTTTAAAAACTGAAAATTATATGTATGATTCTTTTACAAATTTTTCACACTCTACAACAGTTGTTCTTGTTTCAATAGTTGAAAAATGGTCACTTTCAATGGTTTTATCTTTGTTTCAAAGCAGCTCTTTTTACAGTCGATATATAGAGATTGCTTTGCTGTCAAACACGAAGTCGAAGACTGTGATAACTCACATGAAGTCGACGTTTGCACGGCATAGTGTACCGAGCAGAATTGTTCTGATAATGGGCCACAGTATGCATCAGAGAGGAATTCAGAGAATTTGTTCAAAAGTGGAACATTGAACATATTACCTCCTCATCCTTGTATCCACAAGCAAATGGTCTAGCTGAAAAGTCTGTACAGACTGTGATACGACTACTGCTTAAAGCTAAGCAGAGTGGTGATGATCCTTATTGGTCTTTACTTGCTTATCGCAACACTCCATTAAATGAGATGGGATCTTCTCCCGCCCAGCTACTTATGTCAAGACGTCCCAGAACTGACTTACCCAGTCATCCAGATTTACTGAAGCCAAAAGTCATCAGCTGTGAAAGTGTGCATGAGGCAATGGTGGATTCTAAAATGCGTCAAAAGCATTACTATGACAGATCTTCACATCCGAGGCCTGCATTAAGTACACTTGACAGTGTGAGAGTGAGGCAAGGCAAGGATTGGATACCAGGTGTCGTGACGGGTTACGCCAACACACCTCGTTCATACCATGTCAAGACTGATGATGGTGCAGAGTACCGTCGCAACAAGAGAGACTTGCATTCCACCAATGAGATTATCTCCAGTGTACCAGGAGATCATCTGGCTGCTAAAAGCAACGATAGTCCAACCGAGTCAACACATGTGGACAGTACACCACAGTCAGGAGTTCAGCCTATGGTCCCAGTGGACCTCCGACAACCAATTGCCTATTCATCCAGAGGACGGGCAATCTTTAAGCCATCAAGATTTGAATGACTTTAAAAACTGTGGCGAGTATACCTGCAAGAACTTTGTTTCATTGAAGTGACTTTTATTTGTAGTTAAGACAATGTTTAACAGTCAGCTGCTTTGAGCCATAAGAGAATGGACTTCTATAATTTGTTCTTTGGTTAGTGGCTGAGCTTATAAAAAAGAGGGGATGTAAGATATTCGTTTCGGTTAAACTCCTACATTTGATAACAGTTCGTAAGAATTTGCCTGTATAAGTTTTTGGAACCACTCATGCGCAATGTGTGTGTGTATCTAGTCATGTGCTTATGCCGCCGAAGTTGAAAACAGTTGAGAGGAGCTCACTATCGCGTCATGTTGTTAATCCACGCCAGCGCAATACAAAACAGGCACGATGTCTATCTTCCAGCAACGATTTACAGATATAGGACACCAAAGCTGGCGCAACGATATCAATGCATCAAAATATCTTAATCAATACTCACAGTTCAAATACGATCTTCAACTGGAACCTTACATCACAGAACTAAAAAGAAAAGATCTCATACGTGCTCTCTGCAAATTTCGGATTGCCTACAACGATTTCTTGCAAAGTCAACATCTTTTGACATCAGGATGTGCCTCTGGAGAGCTGTACTGTACATTCGGCAATTTCCCACAAATTGAAGACGAAAGACATATTTTCTTTTTCTGTAAACAGTACCAACACTTCCGCGGAAAATATCTCATCCAACTTAGAAATGTATACAAGGTCCCACTCTCACTCCATAATATTTAAAGCTCTAAACATCCACGTATTATATTCATTACTGCTTTATTTATACACCAAATACTCTCCTGCAGATATAAAGCTACAATGTAGTTAATAAGAATGACCACTGTCCATCTGTGCTTTATATTATGTAACTGTGATATGGGCCATTAGGCCGACATTACTAAATACACTCTGCCTGTCTGTCTGACTCCATACACTGTTCATGACTTGCTTGATAACCTACACCTGAACGTCGTTCCTGTTGCAATAAAGAAATCCATATATACTTATCCTTCCTTTCCAGCATTGTATAACCCAGACTATTATGAAATGTTCGTGAGCAAGTACATTTTATATAAAGGCCGCGCTTTTCTCACGTTACAAGAATACCAGCAGTTCCGTACAGATCACTTTCATCATACATTCTCAGCCTTTGGCGAATTTGGAAGCTTGACCATTTTTGCAGTAAGGTGTATATTATCATCACTATGTTTATTATTATATTCAATGATTATATTGAGTGAGTGAATATGGTTTTACGCCGCTTTTAGCAATATTCCAGCAATATAACGGCGGGGAACACCAGAAATTGGCTTCCACTTTGTACCCATGTGGGAATCGAACCCGGTCTTCGGCGTGACGAGCGAACGCTTTAACCACGAGGCTACCCCACCGCCCTAAATTTCTGGAAATTAGAACTGTATTTGTAATGCCACTGAATATGCACTGCCACTGTATTCTGTACTGCCATTGTAAATACTTCGTGGTGATTTCTAGAGATTTGTAACCTTAGTTACTTTTTCAAAATACAGTTGTCAGTTATATTACATTTCTCTCACGGACTAATTTCTGGTTAACGTATTCGAATCAACACGTAACGAATGGGTAATTGTGCAAACAAGTCATAATTCTAATTTTGTCTGTTATTGTCTCTGACAGTTCCTTTGTTTTGAAAAGTCTTTCGGTCTTAAGAATAATATGTTATGCAAAGAACATAACACAATTTGTTAACAATTGTTTTCAATAAGTCGTATTTGGTCCGCTATATCTTAAATAAGAATTTGGCTGCAACATAATTGCTTTCCCCAAAAGGCCATTTAGCAAGTTGATGTGTGTGTTGGGTGGCTGGAAATTAACCTTCAGATTTATCAGAAGTTAACTGTATAAATGTATTACCCTGTTGAGTTCATTATATGTGAACCTTGGTAAATTTGCCTCTTTTTACATTGAGAAAGGCGTGCGTGTGCAATGGTTCATTGCTTCAGCTGCTTTTCAGCAATTCTTGTAATCTCTCTGGAATGGAAGCCTTTGCGTGTCATTTCCATTGTATGACTATGGTAGTTACGTTTGTTACTGTTTATATACTAGGCACATAAAGAAACTGTGCATACAAAAATTTAAAATCTAAATTTATCAAACCTGTGTAGACACATAAGGATTTAAACTCAGAGATTAGTGACATGAATCCAACATGCATGCACGTGCCACGTTCCGTGACGTCAGTGGGTTCGTCCTTGAGACATGCAATACGTTGTTGCACGTGCATTCCTGGAAAGAGAAACAGAGCAAATGAATGCCACACAATACTGTCACTTTGGAAAGCTCAACCCCTGCCCTTGCGATCGTTCCAAAATTAAACGGCTATTGAAACGCATAGCATGCCAAGCCTCACGTCTGCACAACGTCATGAGGCCATTGGATGGTCCGTGGGGAATGTCTCAACGACAAGTGGCTGCACTTTTCCACTGCCAGCGGAACACCATTCTGCACTGGTGAGACGCTACCTGAACACAAATGACGTCATCGATCGGCCACGTTCTGGACGTCCACGTGTAACAACGCCAAGGCAGGACAGATGGATAAGGGTGACCCATCTTCGCCACAGGTTTCAGACTGCAGTGATGACTGCCCGAACCATCCCAGGACTTCGCCATATCCATCCCAACAGAGTTCGACAACGTTTTCGTCATCACGGGATCAGACCACGACGTCCCGCCATACGGCCTATCCTGACACAACGAATGTGGTGCCGAAATCATGTCCGCAGACACTTGTTTTGGTGGAGAAATGTTGTTTTACAGATGAGTCCAGGTTTATCATTTCCCATAGTGATTGACGTCAACGTGCCTATAGACGCGTTGGGGAATGTTATGCACAGGCCTGTGTCTTGGAGAGGAATCGCTTTGGTGGTGGTTCCGTGATGATTTGGGGTGGAATATCAGAACTCCTTTGGTGATTGTTCAGGGCAACTTAACTGGTGTGGACTACAGGGATCAGATTCTTCGACCTGTGGCTATTCCTTTTCTGCAACGTCATGTCCCTGGGTTAACATTCCAAAGAACAATGCCCGCCCTCATACGGCAAGGGGTTGCTATGGATTTCTTGCAACACCACAACGTTGACTTACTGCCTTGGCCTGCAAATTCACCGGATCTCTCCCTGATAGAGCATGTTTGGGACGAGATGGATCGACGTCTACGCCGTCTTCCTCATCCGCCAGGTAACGTCCTTGACCTTGCAACAGAACTTGAGAGAATCTGGCGTGACATCCCACAAGCCTTCCTTGCACGTTTGATAGGCTCTATGCGTCGTCGATGCACTGCTGTTCTCAATGCCGATGGTGGACATACCCGTTATTGAGCTTGTGACATGGTCGTTTGACCCCTGTCCCGCTTGTGGACTCGTGACGTCATTGTGAGTGACTTTTCAGTGACTTTTCAATTGAAATTCTCCCGACTTGTTATGGTCTCATGATCCTCCATTAAAGTTTATATGTACCTTTGACATTGTTATCGTACTTATCAACTGGGATAATATTTTGACAATGCACAGTTTCTTTATGTGGCTAGTATAGATCACATTGTGTTATCTGAAACATAATATTGGCATTTGTTGTGTCGCTGTTTGTACTATAGGAGATCATTTTATAGTTATTTTGTAATTATCCATACAACTTTCGCTCCTTTAATAAACGGAATCACGTTTTGTCCATACCAACCCGTCACTATAATTCAGATATTGGCATGTTAGTGTTTAATGACAGTTGTAACAAGGGGGTATGCACAATAAACAGCAACTAAAGGGTAATGCGAAACACAGGGATAAACTAAAAACCTTTGCTCTGAAGTATTTTCATTGTCACTGTCACTGTCACTGTCAACTGAAATAACAATTTGACTGATGACATTATGTAAACAGTCTTTTCCCCATATGAAGCTTCGATTTTGGTCTCAACTTTGTGGGGCGGTGGGGTAGTCTAGTGGTTAAAGCGTTGGCTCGTCACGCCGAAGACACGGGTTCGAATTCTGGTGTACCCGCCGTGATGTTGCTGGAATATTGCTAAAAGCGGCGTAAAACCAAACTCAGTCAGTCAATCTTCTTTCAAGTATTTCTGACCAGCTTCTCCACATCAGATAATTTGTATGTTGTATTGTTTCTGCCAACATCGCCCTTTACAATTCCCCAGACAAGTTCTATGGGGTTTAGGTCACAATGATAAGGTGATAGCCTCAGGACCTCGTGTCCATGTTGTTGTACGCCAATGTCCACCTTGTACCTTGTTGGCCTTCACAATGTCATACAACACATGTTTGATACTCTTAGGGGGAAATGGAATACCCTATCTGGAGTATCAATATTACATGTAATACCATAAAACGAGCTATATACCACCAGTCACCAAAGCCAGACCACCTTACTGGGGATACGGTAATGGGAAGCATTGTCCATAACGAACAGAGAATTCGGAGGTAGAACATTTTAGAAAGACTTGACTGTTCATTTGGTTACATTAATCTCAGTTATCTTTAGATTTTGCACGAAATACCACAGCACATCCAGGAAGAAACAATGTGCTTTGGCATCCTGAATCCAGAAGGATCAGTCTGTCATATGTACCTAAAGGTAGTTTACGAGAAGAACCTCACTGATGTTGCACAGAATGAGATGCATTGCCTCATATTTCATCAAGGTAAATCAATTGATATCCCTGTTTCCGCTTCATGCGTATGGTTTGCAGGTAATTGTTTCCCAGAGACACTACATCCTTCCGTTCACATAAATAGAAGCGACTAAACCCTGTCCGCACTCATAAGGAATCCCTGCTGAAAGCAGAGTCGATTGTACAGTTGTGACTATATGATGAGCACATACACTAAACGCCAAAAGAAACGTTACCCTCGTTCCTTAATGAATTTCTTAAAATCTACTCAAGTGAGGATAAAACCTTCTGCTCCATTTTATAGCCAAACAATACGGAATCATCTTGTCACTAAAGGTGTGAGAACATTGGTTGATTCTCCTGCTGCTGCAATGATATATTATGTTAATCCCACACAAAAAGACATCAACACAATGTAAAGTTCATAATTTTGTTATTTCATGATTTTTTCAATATCTAGCGTGGCCACCATTGGCATGTAAACATGCCAGAAGACGTCTCCTCACAGAAAATTTTAATCGTCTGATGAAGGGGGGATGGAATACGACGCCGTTCTTCTCTCAAAGCAGTGATCAGTTGCCTACGCGTGTGGGGCTGTGGTTGGCGCGAGCGAACCCTGCGATCTAGATGGTCCCACAAATGTCCTATGGGGTTCATGTCTTGCGATCTTGAAGGCCATGGCAAAACGTTGACGTTTTTGACGTTGAAGACGTTTGTCGCCAATCTTGCTACGTGAGGGGGTGCATTGTCCTGTTAGTAAAGGGTGTTTGGCTGACTCTGCAAGAAAGGGAGAACCACAGGCTGGACGACTTGGTCAATGTAGGCTGCCATACTGCCATCAATGACGACAAGTTCGGTGGCAACGTCGTCCCTGATTTCGCCCCAAACCATCACACTGCCTCCCCCTTGTGGAATAACGTCCTGAACGCAGCATGGGGCTTCTCTTTCACCCCGACGACGGTAAACCCTCCTTCTCCTATCTGCATTGTGGATCATAAAAGGGCTCTCATCGGTGAACATCACTCGCCGCCAGTTCTGGTTCTGCCAACGTCGGACATTACGTGCCCACACAACCCTGTGTTGACGGTGCTGCCGCGTCAGCTGTATCCCCTGCCTTGGTCTATACTGCCGTAAACCTTGGACCCGAAGTCTTCTTCTAACTGTTGTCGATCTGATTAACGTCCCAGAGCTGTCCTTGCTGATGACGTCACCGGTAGAAATCTGTTCCTCAGGTGTATTTGACGGAGGTACTAATGTTCAGCTGGCGTTGTGATGCGTGGACGTGTCCACTTCTCGGTCTGTCTGTAGCGCTGCATAAGTCTTATAACGGTGATACGGTGGCATCCGAGGACGTTGGCAACAGCATTGTACGTCGACCCCATCTGCACCATCCCAATGGCTCTTTCTCTTTCTTCAGCTGTTAGTCGTGACATATTTCTCGTACTTGTGTATCATATCATGCATTGTAGGCACTCTTTATACCCTAAGGAATCATTCTACATGTGAAATAAATGCAAATACCGCTTGAATATTGCTAAGTTTTGGCGACTGATTTTGCTATGTGTAAACAGAAAAATGTACCTTTGCAAGCAAAAATGTACACAAAGATAATCTTAGGTGTTCCTAAACACTTTTTCACAATATCAAAGACGTTGTGCATGTGTTCACTTATGCAAATCAGCAGAAAATGTTTTAAAAAACTGAAATTATATGTATGATTCTTTTACAATTTTTCACTCTACAACAGTTGTTCTTGTTTCAATAGTTGAAAAATGGTCACTTTCAATGGTTTATCTTTGTTTCAAAGCAGCTCTTTTTTTCAACCTGTCTTTTGGACATCGAAATCACTGTTATTGGTTTATTTCGGCATGGTCGAAAATAGGACAATTGAACTCTTCTGAAAAAGATGCATTTCACCTAAATATGAATGCATTTGGGAATTGTTTTCATGATTTGCGTACGGCTGTGTTGTTAAGCTTTCTTGTGAACTAATACCTTGATAGTTTTTAAGTAATTCATAAAGATAGGAGGGTAATGTCTAGGGTTTAATTGTTCACCTGAAATAATTCGGGAACGTATGGTATAAGTCAAAATAGGGAATTGCATCGAACATTATTTTTAATTGTTCTGTTTATTTCTTTCTTCGTTTATTTTTTGTTTTTGTGTGTAATAAAAGATAGTCAGAGATATAATGATGGATGTTTTGGTCAAGACTAACAGAGTACTTATTGTATGCTAAATACTAGCCACAAGATTTATGAGTAAAGTGCATGTTACAACAAATGTAACAAGAGCAGCAATAACTAAACCATCCATCATTACACACACTAGACAATAACATTAATTTGTATAGAAAACAAGGTTAGCCTTAGTTCTAGGCTAATTGTTGGGTGTTATGGCATCACAAACAATATTTGTTACAACTTTCAGCTTCAACTCGCACCTTGCACAATTCACATAAGAATAACTGTCTGGCGAAAGTCATTTTTTGTTCGGTTCCCCTATAGAAAGCCTATGATAAGACATTGAAGTATGGTATTATGATACGAGTCTTTGAGACCATATGCCTGATTTTATTGCACAGAAGCTTGAACGTCAGAGTAGGTTCCACATTTTCTGATGTATTTGATCAGGAAATAGGAGTCTCGAAGGAAGCATTGTATCAGTTACTCTTTTTAGTGTTGCGATAAATAAATGGACTTGCAAACGTTTTGACTGATAATATTGTTGAGTTGATGACTTTAATATTTCACGTATTAATGAATACTCTGAATATCAACAATATATACTATTTTTTTATTTGCTTTCGTTCCTTCAGGCTATTACAGTTTTGTCTTGTCAACATCCACTCATAATCAAATACTTGCATCACATAATGACTGGCAAGTTCTCCCTGGTCTGTTGTATAGTCAGGAGCGTTGGTATTTCTGGTAACAATAGCCGATTTTACTGTTAATGCGGCACTCAACAAGTCTGTGACACCACTTCTTATACCATATCCGACGCAACAGAAGGTGGACACACAAGTAGGTAGAAAATTATACTACATGAAACCAAATATCAGTTACACCTACTTGGGTTGTCAGTCCAGATTTGAAGAGGTTATTTTGTGATTAAGATATATTCATCAGTATTTATCAAAGATTGAAGATCCTCCGTTTTGTATATTCAGTGATGAAAGAATCACGGTCAAGCATGGCTTGCTGTATCGATTTTTCCACCACATGGGATAAATATTTCAGTTTCAAATATCAAAAAGCATGTTTTTAATGTTAATTCTCATTTGATTATTGCATTTTAGAATATACACTTAGGGGCAAAAGAAACGATACCAAGTAAATTTCACAACGTGAGAAAAAACAAGACGTCATAAGCATAAGGTGACAAATTATATTGTCAGAACAATCAAACAACTACAACATATCGTAAATTCATACAGTCATAACCAAAGAAGGTACAGATATTCAACAATTAAAGAGGGTGGGGTCGATTGTCCAGTATTCGATCACGTACAAGTTTACACAGTCCCACCGAAACAGTCATTTGAGCACATTTTACCACAAGTTAGAGTCAGTATCGAGTGTGTGCTCCTCCAGCATCGATACAGGCTCGAACTCGACGTCGGGCAGATGACGTCAGACGTCTGATCACCGGACGTTGGATCCTGTTCCACTCGTCTTGCAGTGCTCTGGCAAGAGCTCTCCTGTTGGCAGGCGGATGTGGTCTGGCGCGAATTTGCCTCCCAAGATGGTCCCAAAGGTGCTCAATGGGGGAGAGGTCAGGGGAACGTGCTGGCCATGGTAAGACGTGAACGTTGTTAGCGTTAAGGAAACCCCTAACGCGCTGTGCTGTATGGCATGGAGCATTGTCGTGTTGGAAGACAGTTCGGGGTTCTGCTGCAGGAATGGCAAGACGACTGGTCGGAGAACCTGGTCGATGTACCTTTGACCATTCAAGTTACCGTCTACGATCACCAAGTCTGTCTTTCTGTCTCCAATTATGTCTCCCCAAACCATGACGCTGCCACCGCCGTAGGGCTCCACTTCTTGTACGCAGCAACGTGCAGTACGTTCACCTCTGCGTCGATGTACCCGTATCCTGCCGTCTGGTCTGTTAAGGTGGAACCTGCTCTCATCTGTAAAGAGTACTCGAGCCCATTGCCTGTTCTGCCAGCCTGCAACTTGGCGTGCCCATCTCAGACGTTCACGTCGATGTTGACGGCTCAGTGCTATGCCACGGAAGGGTCGGTAGGCGCGAAGGTCGTGCAAACGTAGCCTCCTAGACACCGTTCGTCTGCTGACACGATGGCCGAGCGCTGTCACTGCCGATGACGTCAGTCAAACGGATAAGTGTTGAATAAATTTTGATAAATATGTTGTAAATTGATAACTGTTTTGTCATTGGTAGTTCAAGTTAGCCACTGAGATTGTTAGTGGCTGTATCCTTACAAAGAGGTTGAAGGATATTAAACCTATTGTCATCCTGTTTGAGTTCGTGCGAAGGTAATCCTAAAACATTCACAGTAAATTCAAGCTTGGTACCAGTTTGTTTGTTGAAAACTAAGTAATTTGTGGTTATATAATTATATGTTTTCAACATTTATTTAGAACTTGTTTAAGTCACGATAAGGCTCACTCACTAAAAGTTTACGTAGGCAATATCACAGCAATATAGTGACGACAAACAGTGATATACTGAGATAGATATAATTTTTAAAAAGATGTCATCGAGGAACAGTATAGCAACTATAACATATGTTATATTTGTGATTACGCTTTCTTAGTAAAGTAACATTTGACCACATTCTAAATGACATTGTATAATCATAATATAACAACTAGATTGTCACAGATAATAATAAACTCTATTCAGAGATCATTTTAAAATGCTAAATCATTATTCAACAACACAAAATATATTCAGCTATAGACTATATATATGCATACTTTTGCTTCCTGCAGTTCCCCAGCCGATTTTACAACATCCCTCCAGCTGCTGGCGATTGTATGCAAAATTAACCAACAGTAAAAATGATACTGCAAAGTCAAAATAATTCATTTCTCCGAGTGTGAAATCAAAATAAGCTGTCGCTAAAAGGCCGAAACAATGCGGATACGACAATAAAAAATGTAAGTTAAAGAGTAAGTTACATGACTTGGTTAATTAACATCACAAACCAACATTTACCTTTGTAACCTTGAATAAACCGAGAAGGGATGTGTAATGGATCATTGATTAGGTAACGGCCATGCCTGGAATCTTTACCTATAGAGTTTGGTGTGGTTGTTGTTTAACGCCGCACTCAGCAATATTCCAGCTATATGACGGCAGTTTGTAACTGATCGAATCTGGACCTGACAATGCCGTAATCAAGATACAATCACATGTGTCAACCAGGTCAGCGAGCCTGACCGGCCGACCCCATCAGTCGCCCCTTAACGACAAGTATGGGTTACTGAAAACAAATTCTAACCCGGATCTTCACGGGTCTTATCAATTAAGTGAGTGAGTGAGTTACAATTTATCGTCACATTGTATCGTGACGAGAGAACCGCATACATCAATAACAAATGTATGAAACATATTTAAACCATATAAAATCCTGTCGTCAAAAGACAGAATAACAACTACTATATCACATTTTATTTGAAACTAGTTTGGAGCATTTAAAATAGTAAACTGTTAATTGACAACACAATATATAAATGAGCTATAGATCGCCAGCAACTGAGTGAGTGAGTGAGTGAGTTAAAATTTATAGTCACATCGGCAGTATTCCAGCCATATTGTGACATAAAAAGTTATAAATTAACAATAAACACAATTACATTATAAAACACCTGTCGACGAAGGACAGTAAAACAACTAGATAATCATAGGAATAAATTTGAGACTAGTAATTAAATCTAACATATTTTACCTACAAATGACAATACAATATAAAAAACGGCTATAGATTGCCAACAACTGAAGGTAGATCACCATACTAAAGACCATGGGGTTACCCATTAAGAGACTTTGGTGTCATTTATATTGTATGATGATGGTAGTTATATGTGCTGTTATTGTGTTGATGTCACACTGTGTTTTATGTTCTGCAGTTATGTGTATAAACTCTCTATAAAAATACCACTTGACGACTGTTATAAAATCATTACCGTAGATTGCTATATTACTTTTATTACGTACCCTAGATTACTTTAAGGTATAGTATATTTGCTCTCCGTACAGTACACATATCTGTGTTAATTTTGTCATTATCAAGATCCCTTGTGGTGAAATATGGAGTGATTTAAATTGTAAAGTCAGATGGGCAGTATTTCAGCCATAACTGTATGTTTGTCCCAAAGACATTTGTCTCATGCACTACAACCGCTGGAGGCAGCCACGCACCTGTCGATTGATTATTTACAGTCTACTTTGTTTGTTCAAATTAACTGACTTGTTAAATAATAAATCGTTATTTGTCTAGTGGATTGGTTTATGAAAGCTCTGAGATTTCAATTAACTTCAATAGAATACATTTTATATGAATTGATGTGATTACTATTGATGTAGCGATGTTCCCAGCTTAAACATTAAACCTGAATGCTTGTTATGAACAGACGTTGGCAGGGTTAAAAAGACTCAACAGAAATAAGGAGTGAAAGTAGCAACTTGACAGTTGAAGGTCCAGGTGGTGAAAATTGTTTTACTAATTTTAGGAATCACGAAGTTAGTCAGTGGTGACAGCTGTTTGGACGTAGAATGTCTGATGTCCTCAGCATGTCTGTCCTTTGGATTAGACAAGAAAACGCGCACCTGCCTACTATACAGTAACAGTAGTAATATTGCTAACGTTGTTGACAGAAGGGGATTTCTTTTCAGTGATATTCAACACTGGCCAAAGGTTGGTGTTCACAGTAGATGTTTTTCTTTTATTTCAGGCCTTCTTGTTTAAGGGCGTTATGTTGTTGCCATGCTGCAAACCCCATGTTACCTCAGTGGCTTCTGAATGTCTGGCATATTTATCTTTTTAAACGTTTTCTAGTTTCTTGAAGGTATAAACATTAAGTCATTCTTTTGATAAAATCGGTACAAATGTCAAGTGTTCTAAATTTATCTTGTGTAGAGGTACAAGTAGAATCTTCTTAAAGCCTCAAGACCAAGAAAAAACCCACCTAAAGGAAATCTAAAGTCTTTCATGCAGGAAACTGATGCACAGTTACATCGTTAAATGTTAAATTATTCCAGAGCTTACCATTAACCCAGGAGATTAGAAATAGCGAGTAAAACAAACCACAGTAGAGCTGAAAACGCCACAGCTTATGGATTTTCTATCTGCATTGGACGTTTTAGTCATTGTCCATAACAGTGACGCCAAAAGTTTTGGAGGACAAGGGGAGCAATGGCTAAGATGCCTGGCTAGTGATCCAGCATGCTTGAGGTGTCGGGATCGAGCCCACATGTGACTGGGTGTGAAAACCTTGGAGTCAACTTTGTGTGCAGACTCTTTCAGTGTTGTCATAACCCCTAATGTACTGTGATGAAATCGTAAGGCATCATTTTATTCCATACATGAACCATCAGAACGTCAGTATCAGCCTGACAATGCCCGACCGCATACAAGAATAACCAGATATTTTCTTGCTCAGCACAACGTTCAGGTTCTTGAATGGCCCTCCCGATAACCAGAAATGAACCCAGTTGAACATTTGTGGGACGAACTGGATCGAAGTGTAATACAGCGTAATCCTTAGCCGCAGACCTTAGCTGCTTTGTTTTTTGCTTTGCTTTTCATAGACATTTCATCCGGAATCCAATCTATGGGACGCCGATGCCAGGCAGCCATTGATGCTGATGGTGGTCACACAAGACATTGACTGCTCCGTGACCTTGACCTTTCTGCGCGCCATTTGTTACGTCCCACCTCTACTTCAGTTGAACAATGCATGTTTAACAGTGTTTTCTTTATCACTGTCCTGTATCACTCAATCCTACATGCATAAATATATGGCGAATTTCAGCTATGAGTTTCTTTTTTTTTTAGAAGTATATTTTGTGTATGGATTCTTTTGTTCCTAGTCTCTCTCTGGCCGATGCGCTCAACAGATATGTCCCACCAACAACCGCTGTGAAGTTACTCGACTTGGTCTTGCAAGGTGTGTTCCAGGTAACCAATGTTCTTCCAGTGCCTCAAATACATTTAACATACATTCCGATGCATATAGGAGAATAGTTTGGCAAAGTTTCAGTTGGCATTACTGTACATGATTTAAACTGATTGCCTTGTTGCGTTCCCGATAAATTGACATAAGTAAGTTAAATTTTGTGCAATTTAACGACATTTTAGACAAGCAATTGCTGAGGCAACACACAGATGCAGTGTAAAGACATCGAACATGAGTAGAATGGTAAAGCTGCTATGTTTCATCGAAACAAAGGTGTAAGCGTGAACATCTCCTTGTGCTGTTCTGCGCCGGTTTAACATTCTTGGAGTGTAAACTTTGGAATGCTATTTGAATCATTTACTTCAGAACGTGGTGTTTTGCTGCCTTGATTTCTAGTCAAGCTGATATATTAGGTGGAATACATGCATGCTGAGAGGATGTATTTCCCAAAACACGACTGTTGACATATTGACTTAGATTCATAGTTTAAATCGATGTGACATTTTGTGTGAAGAGTTCAAGGGTTGTGGTGAACCCCGGAAGTGAATGGCGCCAACACCACGTATGACGGTCACTACCAGGGAGCGGTGGCGACCTACTTCTGTGACCCTGACTACAGAACCTGCCACAACAATGTCACCAGCACCTGTCAGTCATCTGGAGCGTGGGAGAGTTTAGCCGGTCTTTGTGGACAGTTCAGGTGGCACGATCCGGTAAGATGTTATTTTGGTCGGTCTGTTTAAGGATCTTGCACAGACGTGGTACGCCTTTCACACAGGCACTAAACACCACCAACCCTGCCACCTCCTAGTGCGGATTCCTTGTTAGACTGGTACCCAGCAACATATAACTGATCTTTAGTGGGTGCCTTGGATTTTCTTGTCTAAACACAACACGTAGGTTTAGATATCAGTATGATTTCTATTTTCCAGGTCAAGTAATTCCGATAATCTTTGACAAAATATATCGAATATATTTAATATAATTGAATCAGGGTTAGTCCCCCACAAGTAATCTTACACAACAAAATCACATCTGTCCATGTGAAACAGTGAATTATGAAATGTGCTGGTATACATGCTGCAGATTAAAGGCGTGTATTCAATTCCGTGTGGCCCATCAATGAAGTTCCAGTTGATAATGAATGGGGCAGGGACAGAAGCTACAAGGTAAAGATTGATGACACTTGGAATTAAATGATAAAATAATTAAATGATTAAATAATTAACATATTTAGTTATATTTCAACTGTGGTCTGTAAATTTGACCGAAACCGAACGTAAGGCTATCATAAATACATGAACATTTGTGTTTATGGACATTGCTGAACAATTTCCTGCTTGATCATGAACGAAATGTGTTATATTAAGTTGTTGAACTAGTGTACAAATATGAACTGTTTCATTTCTTTTATCATTCATTGCAGATGGAGTATCAGGATTGAGAAACAAGCCGACAAATTATTCTTCTTAGAGCTTCGCTTAGGCTACAATACGATCAGCAACGTGATCGTTATCAACACAGTGAAAGATGGTGTTTGGGGGACAGAGGAGCGTTTCGATCTAGCAATGGCTGTTGGAAAAACAATGGAGATTCAAATAACCCTCCAAGATGGAGTATACGAGGTATGTATGGAATGTAAATGACAAACATAAAGGATATGTACATGGTTAAAATAAAACTTAAAGGTCTAGAGGATTTACACATGGAATGTAAATTGCAAACCGGTTTATTAGGGTATGTATATCAGTGAAAGTAACCCGAGAACAATATGGAATGCACCACAGTTCCATTTGATATTCCAGTGCGTGACAATTTGTAATTATTGTACGTTGTATATTGGGTGCTTGGGTAAAGCATTCACACTAAAATAAGGTAATGGTCGTTTTTTTTCCAGTTAGTAATCGATGGTGCCATCATTCACCACTTCACGGAGAGAGACCCTGGAGCAAAGCCTGACCACTTTGCATTTTTGGGTGACGTCTCTGTTAGTATGATGAAGTGGATGTCTTAACCGAACGACTCAAGAGCAACAGGTGGTTTTCATAACTTTGGTGCCTTTGGCCAACAGAGATGTTTTCTTGTCTCATATGAGACAGTGATTGTATTGCAAACACCAAGGTTGAATGAGTTTATACTCTTAACTTAATGACTCGATTTGAGAATTCATTGTTTGTCAAAGAGTTATGTGAGTGAGTGAGTTAAGATTTTAAGTCACGTCGACAGTATTTGAGCAAAATTGTGACTAAAGCAAGCAGTAGATTCACAATAAATAAAGTTAAAATATAAAAACATTAACAGTAAAATAAAGTAAGGGCCGGTTTATTCCAGTTAGTAAGTAATGGTGCCAGCACTCACAACCTCACCGCGAGAGAGCCTGGGGCAAAGCCTGACCACCTTTCATTTTGGGGCGATGTTTCTGTTAGTATGATGGAGTGGATGTCTTAACCGGAAAACCCGAGAGCAACAGGTGGTCTTCATAACTTTCATGACTTAGGCCAATGATGTCTCTTGTCTCACACAATACAGTGATTTTATTACTACATGTAACACCAAGGTTTAATTTAAACATCAACTTTTTGACTCGATATAATTGTTTGTCAAAGGGTCATGAGAATAACAAAATGGGCATTACAACAAACGTAACATGAAGTTATTTGACGGCCGCAGGACTATTTGTAGTCGTTCTGTTAAATGTCTGTGGGCACATAGTGTTTTATTAGTAATTGTAACGGAAACTCGTGGATTTTAATTTTTGTTTCAGACGATTGATTTTTTTGATGTATGTGTTTGACATATGATGTGTTGTTATTTTTCGCTTCTGTTTATGACGAAACTCCTAAAATGATAAAGTGTGTTGGAAAACTTTGTCAGGGTAATGAAACGGAGACGCAGAATAGTTTTTTTCCCCAAAGGGATACAAATGTGCACGGGAGATAACCCAATACGAAGCAAAAACAAAAGTGTAACATTGTGTTGTGTTTTCCTCTATATATACCTGTGGTCATACATGTATAACGATCTATGTACCTTTGCAATAGCTATTTGCAATAGCTCTGATACGATATCAGTCTGGTTAGATATATTAGACTGAGAACTCTGAAATGTACTTCAAGGTGTCACAACCGCATCGGCCTTACTAACACAACTTACTTGAGAAGAATTTAGGAGTAATGTAAAGGAAGGATAAGAATATATGGATGAAGAACTTCTTGATCACAATAGGAGCAACTTTCCGGTTCTAACACCGTTATTATTCAAGCGATGAGTATTGACTGAGAGGCATGATGAGTTGATGTACTTGATCTCCATGTTGGTGAGTATGTTGATCGTTGAGATTGTCACGTCCATGCCTCTCAATCTGTGCATAACTTGCTTGATGACAGTGTTAGAACCTACACCTGAACGTCGTTCCTGTTGTAATAAAGAATTTGTTCATCCATATATACTTATTCTACCTTTCCAGCATTTTGTAACCCAGAATATGATGAAACGTTCGTGAGCAGTTATATTATATATAAGGGCCGCACTTTTCCTCCGTTATCTCACGTTACAAGAATACCATCAGTTCTGTGCAGATCACTTTCACCCTAGATTCTCAGCCTAGGTCCATTTTGGAAGCTTGACCACTCTTGCAGTAAGGTGAATATTATCATCACTGTGTTTATTATTATAGTCAGTGCTTTATTATGTAATATTGCCACTTGATTTGTAATGCCACTAAATATGTACTGTCACTCTATTTTGAACTGCAGTTGTTTTTCCTTTGAAGTGATTTGTAGAGATGTGTAAATTTAGTTACTCTCAAAGTACAGTTGTCAGTTATATTACATTTCATCGTTGTGTCGTAGTTTCACATCAAATTCTTTCACGGACTGATTTGTGTTCAACTTATTGGTATCGACACGTAAAGAGATGAAAGGGTAATTGTGCAGACAAGTTCTACTGCTGTCTGCTATTGTCTGTGACACTTCATTTGTTTTGAAACATTTTTGGATGTTTAGAGTATTATGTTATTCCAAGAACATGCATTTTGCTAAACTTTGTTTTCAACAAGTCGTATTTGGTCTGCTTTATTTTAAATGAGAATTTGTCTTGAACACAATTGCTTTTCCCCTTACGGCCATCTAGGAAGTTATTGTGTGTCGGGTGGCTGAATTCAACTTTCAGACCTATCAGAAGGTAACTGTAAAAATGCATTTCCCTCTTGAGTTCATTATATTAGAAGCTTGGAAAAGTTGCCTCTTTTTTCATTGAGAAATGCATGTGTGTGTAATGGTTTATTGGTTCATCTGCCGTTCAGACATTCGAGAGCAACACGTGATCTTCATAACTTTGATGACCAAGGCCAACAGAGATGTTTTCTTGTCTCATATGGGACAATGATTGTATTACTAACACTAATGTTGAATGAGTTTATACTCTTAAACACCTTCCATAAGGCTTTATAGGAGAAACTAGGCAGAACATATAGTCATTTCACGACCACAGGACTATCTGTAGTCGTTCTGTTAAATGTCAGTGGGCTTATTTCGTTTTATGGGCAATTGTATAGGACATTTATGGATTCAATTTTTGGTTCTGACAATTAATTTTTGAAGCGTGTTGTTTGACATACAATGTGTTGTTATGTTTCGGTCCTATTTATCACGAAATCCATTTATTAATAAAAGACCCGTGAAAGTCCGAGTTAGAATTGGCTTTCAGTAAACCATGCTTGTCGGAAGAGGCAACTAACGGGATCGGGTGGCGAGGCTCGCTGGCTTACTTGACACGTGTCATCGGTTCCCAATTGCGCAGATCGATGCTCATACTGTTGATCACTTGATTGCCTGATTATTTAAGGACCGCTGCCATATAGCTAGAATATTGCTGATTGTGTCGTAAAACTAAACTCACTCACTATTAAAATGTGTTGGAAAATTTGTCACGATAGCGAAAGGGAGACGTTGAATGGTCTAACACCTTTATTCCAAAGGGCTGCAAATATGTAACTGCATGATAGGCAAAAACAATAGAGAAACATGTAAAAGTGGAACTGGTGAACGGATATAACATTCGAAGGAGTGTTTTGTTTCGTATGTTCCTGTGGCAACACAGCAAAATATATAACTTTATTCATTCTAATTGTAATAGTTATTTTATTAGACTGAGACCTCTGGAAGGTACTAGAAGGCATCAAAACCGCATAGCCCTTTCCAGCATAACTTATTTGAGAAGAATTTAGAAGAAATTGAATTGGTGAATATCATCATCACTGTCTTTATTGTTGTATTCACTGCTTTTTTTTTATCATATTGCCACTGTGTTTGTAATGTCACTAAATATGTACTGTCACATTATTTTGTACTGTCATTGTACTTCCCTTGAAGTGTTTTGTAGAGATTTGTAAATTTGTTACTGTTAAAGTACAGTTTCAGTTATATTACATTTCTTTGTCGATTGACAGTTTTACATCCAATTCTTTCACAGACTGATTTCTGGTTAACCTAAGGTTTAATTGAGAATCTGTTGAGTAACTTGAGAATCACCACTTACCAATGGAGATGAATGGGCAGTTGTACAGAAAAGTCTCTGGCACTTCATTTGTTTTGAAAAGTCTTGTGATTTACATGTAATATGTTTAGCAAAGAACATATACTTTGTTACCAATTGTTTTAAACATGTCTCATTCGGTCTACTTTATCTTAAATTAGAATTTGTCTGCAAAACAATGGCTTTTCCCTAACAGCCATCTGGGAAGTTAATACGGGTCAGGTGGTTGAATTTAACTTTCAAACCTATCAGAAGGTAACTGCAAAACTGCATTTCCCTCTTGAGTGCAAAAGCAATTTAGAAAAATTAGATTCTATCCACCACCAAGGCCTGAGGCTCTGCCTGGGAGCTTTTAGGACCTCTCCGGTACACAGTCTATATGCAGAGGCTAACGAACCTTCCCTTGAACAACGCCGCATTAAACTTTCACAGCAGTATATCACTTAACTACGTTCAAATCAGTCCAATCCAGCATACAATTGTGTTTTCAACCCTCTCTCTGAAAACTTGTTTCCTAAACTGCCAAGCCTGGTTCCACCACTTGGAATCAGAATTCAACCACACATATCTGTAGCTAAAATTGATCTCAATAGCATAGCACCTTACCGACTCCTGTCTTCACCACCCTGGCAGATGGTGAAACCACAGGTCGATCTTACCCTCACTAAATTCAAAAAAGTCTGAAACAAATCCCTTGGTGTTCCAGCAGGAATACATCCAGTTACGTTCAAATTATGACACCCATAGATCCATTTTCACAGACGGATCCAAGGATGAGGGCCAAGTTGCCAGTGCTACAGTCATTGGATCTAAGACTGTTTCCTCTAGGATTCCCGACAACAGTTCCATTTTCACTGCCGAGGCCAAAGCTATCTTTTCAGCTTTGACCTATATTAAACAGCAGAATCATTCCAAAAACTTCATCGTTTTCACAGATTCATTATCATGCCTTCAAGCACTTCAAAATGTTACTTCAAGTCATCCAATCATTCTGGACATTTTAGAACTTTACAACGACCTCTCTACTGGCCAATGTGACATCGTCCCCTGCTGGTTGCCGGGTCACGTCGGCATAGCAGGTAACACAAAAGCCGATGCTGCAGCAACAGCAGCTCTTGACAAGCCCTTTTCTCCACTGCTGATCCCGTACAGTGATTTCAAACCCACTATCAAAAGCTATACTCGGGACCTCATGCAAAAACGATGGGACACTCAAGTAGGAAGAAATAAACTGTATGAATTGAAACCAACAATTGGTTATACCTACTTGGGTTGTCAGTCAAGACGTGATGAGGTAATTTTACGACGATGTCGTATTGGCCACAGTCGATTTACTCATGACTATCTGCTGAAAACGGATGGGGATGGACCCCCATGTGTGTCTCTTGCGATGAGGTTTTCACCATCAAGCATATTCTGCTTGAATGCGTGGACTTATCGTCTGCAAGGGACTCACATTATGATGCAACAAACCTGAAAGATCTGTTCTCCCGCGTGAGCGCTCATCTGATAGTGAACTACCTGAGGGAAGTTGATCTGTAGCATAAATTGTAACTGTGAAATGTGACTATCATAAATTGTAACTGTGAAATGTGACTAACAAATTGCCTGCCTTTAAATTTGATGCTATGGCTTTTTCTGCTTTTAAATGACAATGTAATGAATAAATGTTTTGAAATAAAACTCATTCCGAGTATGTACTTACAATGTTTATTAATGCAAACTTGTTCTCGTCACTATATGGCTGGAATAATGCCGATGTGACGCAAAACCCAACTCAACTCAACTCCCTGTTGAGTTGATTATATTTCAGTGAGTGAGCGAGACTAGACTATCACAGATATATTTAAAACTGGTAATGGAATCTAAAAAAACTTTAACTAGAGAGGACGATACAATATAAAACACGGGATATAGATTGCCAACAACAGAAGGTAGATCACCATACTAGGGACCATGGGGACTTACAGTGCCTTTGCTACCTGCATGGACCCTATTTGGATTTACACCATCCCTTCAGCTGCTGGCGATTGTAG